TTCCTCAGCCTTCCGAGTTACAGGAAAATTGGTTGATCCAGTTCAGTGCTGAACACAGTCCTGTGTTTTGCACTTATAGGCGTTGTACCAGGACAATTAGTTCCATGAGTTTAGTTGGGTTTTTTTTCTTCACAGTGAATACAAATACCTCTGCAAGAATAAGCTCACACTGAGTCAGGCTTGATTTCCTGGCACTGCACCTACTGAAGGTTTTTAGCTCGACCCTGCTGTAGAGTAATTTCACAAAATCTGTTTATTTTTGGCACCATGGCAAAATAACAGCCATTCCACGGTATGCCTCAGAGATAAGCAATGCAAGAGTAGTTAACTAAGTTCAACAGTTGCTCAATTCAAGTTTAACCCGGAACAGCAGCTACAGGCTGGAGGAGTAGCTGGGAAGCTGTACAGCTGGAAGAGTCCTGGGGGTGTTGATTGATAGGTGGCTGAACATGGGCCAGCAGTGTTCGTGGGTGGCCAAGAAGGCCAACGGCATCCTGGCCTGTATCAGGAATAGTGTGGCCAGCAGGACCAGGAAAGTGATTTTACTCCTGTACTTGATGCTGGAAAGAACGTATCTCAAGTACTGTGTTCGGCTTTGGGCCCCTCACTACAAGAAAGACATTGAAGTGCTGGAACATGTCCAGAGAAGGGTGACAAAGCTGGTGAGGGGTCCAGAGCATATGTCTTATGAGGAGCGGCCGAGGGATTTTGGGTTGTTTATCTTGGAGGAAAGTAAACTGAGGGGAGACCCTATTGCTCTCTACAGCTACCTGAAAGGAGGTTCAACCAAGTAGCAAGTGATAAGACAAGAGGAAATGGCCTCAGGTTGAGCCAAGGGAAGTTTAGATTGGATATTAGGAAGAATTTATTTACTGAAAGGGTTATCAGGCATTGGAATGGGATGCAGGGCAATGGTATCACCGTCATCCCTGGAGGTATTTAAATGTAGACATAGTGCGTAGGCATATGGTTTAGTCCAGGACTTTTCAGCATTAGGTTAATGATTGGACTCAGTGACCTTAAAGGTCCTTTCCAGTCTGGGCAATTCTGTGATTCAATAGCTCTTGCTTAGTGCTGGCTTCACGGTAATTGTTTAAAGTTTTTCTGTGCTGTATAGCAACCCAATTAAGTAGGAACTTTTATTAGCTTGTAGTGCCAGGTCTACACAAAAGATGTACACCTGTGTTTACACAATGATATCCCTGCAACACTTACCACTTTGGAGGCAAGAACACTTGAGAGAACAATGCAAAGATAAGAGCTGAAATGAAGAAATTTTGTGAGCCATTAACTGGCTGCAGATGGAGCCAGTGGGCGTATTTTCACATGTGTACTGCATCTATCTAGGGTGGAGCTAACTTTCTTTGTAGTAGCTTGTATGGTGCTGTGTTTTGAATTTGAGAACAGTCTTGATAACGAAGTTTCAGCTGTTGCTTAACAGTGCTTGCGTAGTGTTGAGTCATTCTTCATTCCTCACTCTGCCCCCTCAGCAAGTAGGCAAGGGGTGCACAAGAGTCTGGAAACGAACATAGCTGGGACACCTTACCCAAATTGACCAAAGGGATCTTGATATTCAGTAGCATATGATGTCACGTGCAGCAGTAAAACTGGGTAGGAGTTTTCCAGGGGTTGCCATTGCTCAAGGTCTGAATGGGCATCAGTCAGCCTGTGATGAGGGATTGTTTTTGCAGCACTTGTTTTGATGTTGTTGGGTATTTTGGTGTGGGGTTTTTTTGTGGGTTGATTTGTTTCCTTTTACTTGCTAAAGCGTCTTTATCTCAACCAACAAGTTTTCTGACCTTTGTCATTTGGATTCTCACCCTCATCCTATTGCAAGGAGGGAAAGTGAGCAAGTGGCTGTGGTGGCACTTAACTTCTTGAGGTTAACCCACAGCAGCATTGTCCTCTGAGTGTGGGAGCATGATTCTGGGCCCTGAAGTTGGATCCACGTGGATCCAGCTCAGGTATGGGTGGCCTAGCAGGTATGTGAAAAGACCTGTATTGTTCAGAGCCTGGTTGGTTGAATCATATCCTGTCAAGATTGGCTCTGATGTCCCTTCTTCACACCACTGTTAATGTATTTATTATGTTACATTGTGTTACTATGCGCAGCTAAGCTGAACGTTTTGTGTTGTTTTTCCTCTTTCATTTCTGAATGCAAAAATCATTAACTCTCGGTGATTTGGTCCACTGCTATCTAGTGACTTCAGTATACATGAATTTCCATACCAGTAACCATGTAACTGTAATTACTAGCTATTAAGCGTTATTAGTTTTTTTACCTGTATATGTGTTTGTACTTTTCCATGGTTCCATTTCTAAGACAGTAGGAGTCCACAAGCATAAATGAATGGTTTGTAGCATTAGGCCCTCACTTTTAACTTTACATCTTTAAACATTAAAAAATTCAAAAAAAATAGTGCTTTTTATGCCTCAGACTGAATGTCTTATTTTGAGATATGCTACAGATACTATATTTTCAAACAGTAAGTGATCTGTAGTTTCTTGAAATGAGATCTCTTCAACATTGGTTGGTTTCAAATTGAGGTACTAAAACTAGTTCTTGAAAAAAAAGAAAAAAGTCTAAGCTATGTTTCAACTTGTCATCAGATATGAAGACAATTATAACGTGATTATCAAGATTCTAATCAATTGTAATCTTCTCCCTGAGTTTAGGAGCCATCCTCACGTACATAAATTCAGTGTGGAGACCGTCCAGTGGTATCCTCATGACACCGGCATGTTTACATCCAGCTCATTTGATAAAACTTTGAAAATATGGGATACAAATACTTTACAAGTAAGAGAGAATTTCTGCAGCTTGCAGGCTTCTTTGTGTACAGTCATTCCACATCTGCAGTTGTCCCAGAGCTCAACGGGACCAAGCATCCAGAAGGACAAGAACCAGGCAATTGCTAGAACTGTGGGTGCAGCAGGAGGGCAGCGTGGTTCTGGCATTCACGCATGCCTTAGTGGGTCCCTCTCTTTTTCTGAAGACCTGAATGTCTAAACTCTCTGAAAGCTTGCAACACTTAGTGCAAGTCCTTTCTGCTTCTGCTGTGAACAAGAATACAGCTGGTTGAATTTATGGTGTGTAAACTTGTCAACCAAGGACTGGTCTGTAGTTCATTCTAGAGGACTGTTGAGTGTAATGGTAGCGTACAGCAGGGCTCGCTTTTTAGTAACCAAGGCCTAAATACTGATTTTGAAGGACTGAGGGTCTTGGCATCCAGGTCATTAGGTCCAAAATTCTGCTGTTTTAAGTACTATAGACACCAGTTCTAAAAATTGATGGAGAATGAGAGAAGCCCTTAAGAAAATGCTAACCAATGTGACTGGCATTATTAAACAGGAATTTAGGTTGCTTGTAGGAATTTGGGTTGCTTTGGCTAACTAATCTTCTCATCTAATTGTTTAACTATGAATTCATGAATGCAATCTATCCTGTTGCCAGTATGAATGTATTAATGAGTTTACACTGATGCTATTTGAATGTTATTCTGTGCATAGTGAAAGCATTTTTAAAAAGCAAGAGATCTCTCATCCTATGGACACAAGAGGGAATAAATTTTGACCTCTTTTTTCCATGAGATGCAAAGCCGTGTTTACAGTTAGGAAATCTTCACTCTCCAGGTAGCTCTGGTAGCTTTACTTAAAACATACAGTGTGCACTAACCTGATTTGCCACCACATGTTTTTACTTTAAAACACAAACAACTTAGTTTAAATTGTTTTTGTTTTATATCCAATATTTTAGAATGAGACAACAAAAGCAGTTGTACCTGAAAGTAATTGGATTATTAAAACCAACATAATATATCATTACTTTTTAACACTTTCAAGGACACTAATAATTTTGTATTTGTTTTGGTGGTTTGTTTTTTTATTGTGTATGTTTTTTGTTGTTGTTTGGTTCAGTTTTGTTGAGGAATTGAAGATTAATTTAACATGATCAATGTTTTATTATTAGCCTGCAGATGTATTTCACTTTGAGGGGACAGTCTATAGCCACCACATGTCTCCAGTTGCTACAAAGCATTCTTTAATAGCAGGTATGTATGTTGCTTTAAGAAATGCCTTATGTATTTCAATACATAGCAACAAGTAAGTAATATTCAGTAGGATTTTTTTCCTTTCCTTTAGGTCTTTATAAGATGTAAGGTCATTGGTAAAATATAGTATTTTCGATTAGTCCAATCATGTCAATGAGACTATCACATTTGTTCTTCTGAAATAGTGCATCAATATAATCTCCTTCTAGATAAAAATTCCTAACTGTAATTTCTTTACATAAGTTAGCATTTGAAGGTTATTAGATCCAAACACAGTTAATTGTGTTAATACATGTGTGTTTATTGCTTACATATACACAGTTTAACTTTGTTTAGCAAAGAAAAAGAAAAAAGAGTAGATACTTTTAATTTTCACAGGTATTGTCCTGTTTATCCCCGGTTTCTAAATTTTGTTTGTTATATGGTAAATTTACTTGAACTAGAAATACAAATCTATTAATAGAATGCATTGCTCTGACTAAATGAACTGTTAAGCAACTAATACAGCTAATACTTTTCTTCTGCTTCTTTGTTATTGCTAAGATATTTTGTTGTTCTCTCAAATGCTGGGGTTTTTCTTTTAGCTCTCTTTGTTTCTTTTCTTACAGTTGGTACCAAAAGCCCCAAAGTACAGCTCTGTGACTTGAAGTCTGGATCTTGTTCTCACATTCTGCAGGGTACATTTTAGTCTGAAACATAAATGTTAAACAATAACTACTTTGAGTAAAACAAGTCCTGTAAAGAAACACTATATACAATGTATTCTTTGTAAGTAATATGACTAATTTATTTATTGCCCGTTGTGAAAGTTACACAGCGGCAAAAGGTTCTTTGGGTGTTAGTCTAGTGCTAATGATTTGAATAAAACAAATATTAATTAATCAACAATTATAGATGTCTGTGCATTTTCATGATCTAATCTGCAGTGATTACTATTTATGACATGGCTAAACATAGACATTGGGTTTGTGTTAATAGAAATTCAATATGGGGTGCTGTTTTTTCTTTTAAAAGTGTATACAAAACAACAGCAAAAAACTCACACCAAAGCAAGAAAGTCTTCACTGTTTTTAGCAAAATATCCTGTGGAGATGCTTGCATGGATTTGTTTAGAAGTTTCTGTTTAAGAGGCAAGATACTGCTTGCTATAGAAGGGTGGTCTGTAATCCTTTGCATTTACCTAATTCAGTGAACATAAGTGTTCACTTTTTTTGAGTATGAAAATATATACGCATTGCTTAAGTGAAGGCCATTGCAAGGTAAATCTTCACTGTTCAGACCAGCAGAGGAAGAGCCAGGTTTGATCTAGAAACTGTAGAGAAGCTTTAGCTCAGGCACAGCAAGGCAAAATGCAGCTCTATTTCTTCACTGGTCAGCTCAAGTGTAAAAGCAGCCTAGGTGCGTTTTGTGTGATGCAGAGCTTAAGCTTAAGTAGTTCCCTAGAATCAGTGTGGTTTCAGCAGGGCTTCTTAATTTTGGCACAATAGTTCGTGCTTTGCACACACAAGCTGGTTGTGTATTTGCATGCAGCCTGTTAGAACTAGCTCGATGTTGGAGAAACAAGTGGAAGCAGATTATGTCCTCCGCTATACATAATCTAATAATTCTTTACAGAACTTGAAGTGCTCAACATTGTCTTGAAAGTATATGAGTATTTTTCACATAGGCTAACTCTAGCAGTTTAAATGGAGCTAAATACTTGGCTTCTAGTTTATTTAATGGATGCAAATAAACGTGTCTCCTCTCAGCCTTTCAAGTGTATCCTGTAGTACCTGTGTTATGGAGATTATTTCCATTATCTTGAGCATCACAGCGTTTTTAATTACTTCAGTTAATGGAAAACCAACTACTAGAAGATGTGCCAGAAACATAGCTCTAAACTGCATTAGGAAAAGCATGTTTGTATGACTTAGTTTATTTTTCAACAATTTTCTTCAGTTATTACATGAAATGGGATTACAGTCCTTCCATTTAGGATACCTTACATTTCCTATTTTATTTCTTTATTTCACATTTTTCGAACTGTCCAATTTTTAAAACTTGTGTCTGTATATGTATTATTTGCCACTAAACTGAACTGGATATGACATTGCTGAGAAGACATTTGTCTTAATATCTTAATATTTCAGACCTAATTAGGGGAAAAAAGTCTCAAATTCAGGACAAGAGTATTTGAGGATAAGCTGAACAAAGTTTTAATCTTGAGTACCAAAGGTAAAGATACTTCTAAGTAAACATTTTGAAGGGATTTGAAGAAAAACAAATGGAAAGGTCCTTCTATGTGTGAGAAACCAGGGCTAACACAAAATTTAATAACAGTATTTAAAGTAAACTCAGTTGCTGTGACTGTGCTGTAATGAGTTTTGCATAGGTAAAACTGTCTTTGTTATCAAAAGTTACATGCATATGATGCTTGATATATCACTGCAATCCCACCTGAGCAATAGAAAGAGAGAGGAATAACCTCTAGCCCCAAATAATGTATTTTCACAAAACGAAAAACAAATATTACAATTTAGATTATTGTTGTGGGTTGTCAGATCTTAAAAAGCTAAGTATTTGCTTTTAGTTATAAAAAATGATGTGTTTAAACCTTTTCATATAATTCTTAGGTCACAGGCAAGAAGTGCTGGCAGTGTCTTGGTCCCCACGTCAGGAGTATGTTTTGGCAACAGCAAGGTAGGAATATTGCTGGACTGTTACATGCACTAAAATTGCATGATGGTAAAATTTTACATATTCATTATGCATGCGTATTACAGTTCAAATGCCCTTTTAAACTTATTCATCATTTACTGTAAGTCATTCACTATTTTGCAGATCTTGCCTAGAAAAGCTACGTACGAAGAGCTCTTGAAGTGATGCTTATTTTATAGGAAGTTTGTACAGAGTTTTGAAATAGTAATTGCATTTAAAGGTATAGGAAAATGATAGAGCATTATAGAGATACTATTTATTGTTTATTGCTAATGTGCTTTATAACAAAGTAAGACATGTTTAGCTTGAAGTACTGTTGTAGTTAATCATGCTCAATTATATCAAAACTTTAGTCAATTTGTATTTGCATACTACATGCATTCCTGGTATTAATACACTAATCTAACTTAAAAACATACAGGAAAAAATATGTAGTGCTTCAGTTAGAAGTAGTTTGATTGGGTGCATTTTCCACCTGTAGAATCAAGAAGTCCAGTTGATTTTGTTCAGCTGGTGTGAAAAGTATTTTTGGTTTTGTGATGTTTTTCTTTCCTCCAAAGGGACAGTTAAGTTTCAGTAAATACATCTACATTGGAGACTTAGTGCATGTGAAGTGATCTTTTTTATGAATTTACCTCCTAGCTATACCTTGTAGTGCACAGAGAAGTGTGCCTCTGAAATGCTCGAATCAAGCTGCCCATCAAGGTGCCATACGGAGTGCACTGCCTGCAGTGCTGCTCTCTAAGCGTGTACCTAGAACCAGTGCTTATAATAGCTTTTGTTGCTGGCAAAGACAGGGTGTGAGCAGAGCATCAGCATGCAGCCTGGGAACCGGAATGAATCACAGCAGCCCGAACCTTGACCCTCCTTGTGCCACCCTGGTAATGTAGACAGAGCCACCGAGTTCCTGCAGAAGGAAGCTCTCAGTGCTTCTCTGCCGTAGCATTTTGTGACAACAGCATATAGACCTATCCAGCCTACATGCATGTAGCCATCTTCTGTACCTGCCCTTATAAAAAGTCCCTCCCCAGCTTTCCTGCAGGCCCCCTGCAGGTACTGGAAGGCAGCTGTAAGGTCTCTATGGAGCCTTCTCTTCTCCAGGCTGAACAGCCCCAACTCCCTCAGGCTGTCCTCATAGGAGGGGAGCTCCAGCGGTCTGGTCATCTTCGTGGCCCTCCTCTGGACTTGCTCAAACAGGTCCACATCCTTCTTTGTGTTAAAGGTCACCAGAGCTGAAATCAGTGCTGCAGGTGGGCACTCACCAGGGCAGAGTAGAGGGACAGAATCACCTCCCTTGACCTGCTGGCCAGATTTGGTTTTATGCAGCCCGGTACATACTCCCAGCACATGTTGCCAGCTCATGTTAAGTGCTTCATCAACCAGCATCCCAAGTCCTTCTCTGCAGGGCTACTCTCAAGCCACTCATTGCCCAGCCTCTACTTGTGCTTGAGATTGTCCTGACCCAGGTGCAGGACCTTGCACTTGGCCTATTCTGTGCATGTATGCAAGTGTTTTGTGTTGTAGACAAATAGGCCAAGTGTACTGCATTGTAGAAAAACATTCATTCAGCTTAGGTGCCTGGAGGGTACCAGTTGTCTTTATTAATACATGTAAATGAGTGTCTGAAGTCTGCCTTAAAAATCCTTTTGTGAAATTGTATTGGCTTGGATGTGCCTACAGAACAGTTGCTGGACCAGGGTGAGTGCTAGGTGTGTTGACTAAAAATATTGAACGAGGGTACAAACAATTTGCTTCATGCATACAAATCTCTTTATTTTAGTGCTGACAGTAGAGTAAAATTATGGGATGTGAGGAGAGCGTCAGGATGCCTGAGTACACTTGATCAGCACAATGGAGAAAAGTCCAAAGCGTCTTCTGAGGCAGGTAATACAGATTATAACTGTTGGTAATCCATATGTAACTACAGGCATTCTGTTATTTCATAACTGTGTTGAATGCTATGACCAGCAAGGAGAGTAGTGGTAATTCAGTTGTTACCTACTATGTAACACACGCCACTGAATTTGTTCAGTTGCTTCTGTTGTAGATACAATGTTTGTGATTGGAGATCTTGTTTAGAGGGAGATCTCCTTGGCAACAGTATTGTATCTGTTCTAAATATTTTTCCCTTTTAAAGGGGAAATTTTGCCTTTGCTTTTATGGGCAGAGGACTTCTTTCCTGCTGTAGATAAGGTTACATGTAAAAATCACTTCATAAGCTATTCCAGTAATTAATTGCTCTTCTTTAAAAACAGAGACAACACAAAGCCCAGGAAAGCACATTCCTTTCACTGTTTAAATTAGTCTTCCTTCCAATGCAAGCCTCTAGAATATTTTTCTTATATGTAGTGCCATAAAATTAATTATTTTCCTTTTATCTGTGTAAAGTATACAATAAAGTATAAATTTATGATTACGTTTAATTTTACAAGCAGCTAAATTACACTCCTTTCAGTACAGTCAAACGTAGTAACAGTGTCTTGTACCAGTTGTTACTAGCTACGACATTACTATTTTTATGTATCTTCAGGTCACATATCTGTACCTACAGAAAAAAAACAAAACTAAAGAGAAACTTCTGAATTTTAAGTTGTAGTTCGTTAATTTTGGTCAGTTCTGGACAGAAGATATTTAATTTTGGCAGGCAAAAAAAGTACTTGAACACTCATTGCTCTGAGGTAGAAATACATACAATTGAATTTGAATCACAAAACAGAAACTGTGTCATGGCTCTGAACAAAGGGATTTGAGTGCAAATCTCTGTAAAGTTAAACTAATTTTCCAAAATGTACAATTAGAGAATATGAAGCATTGGTAAGTATCTGTTTTACTAACCGTGTTCTCTACTATGTAAATTTTAGTGTGGTAATACAAAAGTTTGGTTGTGACAATTTTAAACTTCATCGAAATTCAAGAAATTTTTGAAATATAGATTTCTTTAGAGCATTTTAAACTTAAGAAAAAAGAACAGTTTGGACAAATTTTGTTCTACAAAAGCCAAAATTGTGTTATAGAATCATATAACATTTTCAGCTGAAAGAGACCTTCAAGATCAAGTCCAGCCTTTGTCCTAGCTCTGTGAACACCACTAAACCACATCACTCAACGCAACATCCACCTGTCTCTTACACACCTCCAGGATGGCGACTCAACCGCCTCCCTGGGCAGCCTGTTCCAATGCCTGACAACCCTCTCAGTAAAGAAATTCTTCCTGATATCCAACCTGAACCTCCCCTGGCGCAAATTTAGGCCTTTTCCCCTTGTCCTGTCACTCACCACTAGAGAGAGTAGACCAACCCCTCCCTTCCTACAACCTCCTTTCAGGTATCTCCCAAGATAATTTGTGCCATTTTATACATTCCTTTGAATGACATGTTTTCTTGTTCAAACACAATTCTCTTTTCAACTTTTATTTCTCTGTCTGACATGTTCAAGGTGATTTTTTTCATAATCTAATGGCAATCACATATACTGGGAGATTAAATATATTGAAATACAAATAAATATAAATATATTGAAATATATTTAAACTAAGCCAAATACAAGAATTATTCTTATTTAAAATAGTTGAAAAACAGATAAGAGATAAGTTGTGTATTGCAGTATAATGCAGAGATACCTTGTCTGTTTTGCAGTGAGTTAATTTATGGGCACAATAATTACAATTGTTATGGTAGCACTGAGTTGGATTTTAGCTACCTTAACCTATTTAAGAATGAGCAGTCTTGCAGAGTGAACTCATGGAATTAAATTATAGTACTCTATAAAGAATACAGAGAATAGACTATTTCAGTTTGAAGGTGTCTACAGTGATCATCTAGTCCTACTGCCTGACCATTTCATGGAATTGTAGAATCATGGAATGCGTTTGGCTGCAAGGGAACTTAAGAGGTCATCTAGTAACCTCCCTGCAGTGACCAGGACATAAAAGCCTGACCTTGAATGTCACCTCTCTGGGCAACCTGTTCCAGTGTCTCACTGTAAAACGTTTCTTCATTATATCCAGTCTGAATCTATCCTCTTTTAGTATAAAACTATTGCCCTTGTTCTGTCACAACAGGCTCTGCTAAAAAGATTGCCCCCATCTTTCTTACAGGTTCCCTTTAAGTACTGGAAGGCAACTATAAGGTCTCCCCAGAGCCTTCTCCAGAATGAACAACTCCAACTCTCTCAGCCTGTCCTCACAGGGCAGGTGTTCCAGCCCTCTGATCATCTCTGGGGCCCTCCTCTGGACTCGCTCCAACAGGTCCCTGTCCTTCTTGTGTTGAGGGCTCCAGAGCTGAGCACAATGCTCCTGGTGAGGTCTCACCTGAGCACAGTAGAGGAGGAGAGTCACCTCTCTCAACCTGCTGGCCAAACTTCTCTTGGTGCAGCCCAGGATGCAATTTACGTTCTGAGCTATGAGTGTGCATTGTTGGCTCGTGTCCAGTTCTTCATCCACCGGCACTCCCGAGTCCTCTTCCTCAGGGCTACGTTCTGTCACATCGTCCCTCAACCTGTATTGGTACCAAGGATTGCCCTGGCCCATGTTCAGTACCTTGCACTTGGCCTTGGTCAACCTGATGAGGTTCACGCAGGCCCACTTTTCCAGCTCGTCCAGGTCCATCTGGATGACATCCCGTCCCACTTGCATATTGACTACACCACTCAGCTTGGTGTCATCTACCAACTTGCTGAGGGTGCCCTTGATCCCACTGTCTGTGTCATTCAGGGCTGACCAAAACCTAAAGCGTGTTGTTAAGGTAGTTGTCCAGATGTCTCCAAAACACTGCCAGGCTTGGGGTATCAACCACCTCAGTCACTTGGGACATCAGTCACCTATTTGACGCACCTCAGAACTGGTTTTGTCCTCTTGGCTGCTGAGGCACACAGCTGACTCCTATTGAGCTGCTGCAAACCAGCATCCCCAGATTTCTTTCTGCAGGGCTGATCTCCAGCCTCTCCTCTCCCAGTTTATACTTGTTCCTGGTGTTACTCTGTCCTAGATGTGGAATCCAACATTTGTTCTCGTTAAATGTTGTACCATTGATGCTTGCCCAATGCTGCAATCTGTCTAGATCCCTCTGCAAGGCCTCTTGGCCCTCGAGAGGGTCAACAGCACCTCTCAGTTTGGTATCAACAGCAAATTTGTTAATGTTGCATACAACTCCTGCATTCAGATCGTTGATAAAAGTATCAGACAGAACTCGCCTGAGTATTGAACCCCGAGGAACACTGTTGGTGAACAATCTCCAGCCTGATGTTTTTATAAATCAGAGTTTATGCTCTACTGATATGTTACCATTTCAACAGCACTTTCAGTACTATACGTTGAAGTAAAACTGTGTATTCAAAAAAGTAATTCTTCTGTAGAAATCTGAACCAGCTCTTTTTCATTACAGCAAGCACTGCCCACAATGGAAGAGTTAATGGTTTATGCTATACAAATGATGGACTTTATCTGTTGACCATCGGTACAGATGACCGCATGCGACTCTGGAACAGCTCCACTGGAGAAAACACATTAGTAAGTTTTCAAGGTCTTTGGTTCTTACTTGCAACTTAATTTTAGAAGATTTACAGTCTGTGCAAGTGTTGTTACCACTTCGTATTTTTATTAATTTTCATAAAGGATATATCTGGTCCAGCTTTCTTTTCGTATACCTACTTATTAAAAAACAGAGTACGAAGAAGCCTGGATCTGCTTAAAGATTGAGTATAGTAACTTTATAAATTGGTGAGCGTAGCTGAAAACACTTCAGACAGTGGTGAAAACCTTAATATGCAGTGACAATTGGGGCAGCTGTACATACCTGAGAGTTTCACTGGTTGACTGCCTCACTTCCTTGCAGCTTTGTATTTTTGTACAATCTTTCTTGTGGAGTCGCATAGCAGTGTTAAAAATACCTGTCCCCCTTTATCTGCATTGCAACCAAATGCAGAGGGGGAATTAAATCTCTACTGCTGCTTCAATTCTTTCTATGGTTTGTGTTTTGCTGAAGGTTCCTGTTTTTCTGCTCAGTAAAGAAAATTGTTTCTTGTGTTTATTTTGAAATAACTTATTAGGTAAGTCAGTTTCTGTGGAATTTTAACCTGTCGTGATTGGGTTCTGTCATTGCTATCAGGAAAGGAAGAGATTTTACTGTACTTTAGAAGTCTTTTTCTTCTGCCACTTAGTTTCGGAATACAGCAAAAAGAATTCCTTATAGACATAAATGAAAGGACTGTTCTATCTCCATGCTACCCGTATTTGCCAGCTTGTTCTCAGCACTTCATGTACAGACATCTTTCTGTCTTCAAATCACCATCGCCAAAGTAGATAATGCAGTTTCTTCACTCTCCTGTCACCAGCTGGATGACTGTTTTTTGTTTTTCTGTGCCTGTTAGTTTGTTCACTTGTTTCATAGGCTATTGTACAATTTTCTTATTCAGTGTGGAATAGCTTGATCCTGTCTTGCTTTTTCAAGTCTGGAATTGTATTGTCCAGAGTATTTTCACACACTGCCCAGAGATACTGCTTACATTAATTTTAAGGAACCAGGATACAAATAAATGCTTAAACAGGTAATATAAATTCATACTCTAGTCCCTTTATTTCCCTTACTAGACAGTCTTTTTGATATCCATGGGGTATTTTCTGTACCTTTCAAAAGGTATAGCAATTAAGCCAGGCATATGATTTTTTTTTTTTTATGAGAAATGAGCTCCATTGGTACCCTAGTGGACTGTTTAAATTAGTAAGAGAAATGAATGTTGGAGTCATACACATCTCACATACATCGCCCATCACAAAAAAATTGTGATTCACTGAGTATAGGAAGAGTCAAACAATAGGAAACAGGTTTTCTGTTCATCTGTCTGCTCAAAAGATGAAGCCAATTTTTAAGATCTGTCTTCAGTTCTGTTTTGGCAACATTCTTTCCTTTCTGTTGCTCCCCTGTCAAGCAGTAACATTTACACTAAGTATAGCTATGTAATTTGCTTTTCCCAGCCTCCAGTCCTCCCTTCTTTGTTATGAGCAATGTTGTGGCTTGGGAATTGTTGCTGCTACAGCTCATGTGCAGTGTGAAGGAGTTTAGTTGCTCTTTATCAGCACAGTAATATGCCTCTTAAGTCTTGTTAATGCTAGTCATTTCAACACAGGCAATATTTACAAACACAGTCTTTACAAAGTGAGCAGTGGTATCTGCAAAGTACATATGCTCCACATCTCATGAAAATATCCTCTCAATATGTAAGAAAAAAATCAACCTACTTGTATGCTAATCAGACTCTCTTCTTATGCATTTTTATGATGATTGAGATTTTCTCAGGACTCCTTTTTATTACACTTTTCTTATATAAGTGCTCTTTGCTATGAAACAGCATGCTTTGAAAGTAGAGCAACAGGTTGTCATCTTCCTTGCCAGGCCCGTGCTGACTAATGCTTATATTTGCCTCAAACTTTGGACTCAGGCCACTGGTGTGGTATGGATCAAGAACCTGAAAAAGCAGGATATTTGTATTAGAATATTGAGCTGACAAATTTCACAAATCTACTAGTTTATAGTCAAAAGATGTCGCACTTGGGATTTATTTTTTTTTTTAAGTATAGGCCATGAGGTTCGAGTAGGGAGCTGTAAAATCAACCCAGAGATTTCCTGTCATGTACATATAAGTGAATCTCTGGTTTTCAGAAAAAAATGGGAGTGTAGCTTGTAGAACAATACTATTTGAAAACAAAATTTTTTATATATAATGCTCTGTAGTATTAATAAACATAAAGTTAAAATACTGATATGTTTATTAGAGAAAATACTTTATAGTAATGAAATAATGTGTGAATTTCAGGTGTTCATAGTGGACTTCTTCCTCATTAAAATAAAGCATTAGAATTTTGACATATGAAGCATACTTGTTTATTATTAAGGGGTGGGTTTTTTTAGAAATAAGCTGTACTGTCCTCATGAATATATTTCTCTGTTTTTGCATGAATACAATTTTGATGTCTCGTAGGACCCAATTAGACTGATATATCCAACTGGAGTATTTCCTAGCATGTTTGGAAACTTCCCACTTTGAAAGTTTGGTGATATTTTAATCCATATAGAACTTGTCAACAGCTTGACACGTATAGATACTAATAAGCTATGCTTCTTATACCACTTTTATTTGCAAGGCTTCCCATACACCTCACAAGCTACATCTTAGAAATGCAGCATTTGCTCCTATCCCATCTGCCCTTATAGGGAACAGTATTGAATTTCTCAGTCGTGTTTTGACTTTAGTTAGAAGATAGGGTTTTTTTATCACTCTTAACTAGCCTATAATAGCTGAGCAAGTTATTCTTCCTTTGCTTCTCCTTCATGAGACTCTGTACTAATGTCTTTACTTTGTCCTTTGCTTAGGCCATGCTTCGTTTCATGCTGCATATGCGTATCTGTTTCTTGTTAACTGGTGAGGGAGAGATGCAAAATCTTTCCCTGCATTGCAGATATTTTTCCTCTGCTCCTTCTTCCCTGAGCAAGAGATGACTTGCCAAGAAGTCTTTAGGGCTAGTTCTAGACTAATGCTTCATTCTTTGCCATCCTACTGTCATATACACTTTAGAAGTGTAGTTTTCTGCAACATCAGTCAAGTCTGGTAAATAAAGGGCACTTATAGGGTGGAAGGTAGTGTAGAACAATTTTTGTTCAATCTATAGATTAAAGTCTTGCAGTATTGGGACCAGTAATGTTTAATATCATCACTTACATAGACAGTGGGATCAAGTGCACCCTCGGCAAGTATGCAGATGACAAGAAGCTGTGTGGTCTTGTTGATGTACTGGAGGGAAGGGGTGCCATCCAGAGGGACCCAGAGAGGCTTGAAAAATGGGCCAGTCTGAATCTCATGAGGTTCAGCAAGGCCAAGTGCAAGGTCCTGCACTTCAGTCAGGATAATCCCCACTATTATTACAGTTTGGGAGATGAAATGTTTGAGAGCAGTCCTGTAGAGAAGGGCACAGAGGTGGGTGATAACTTGGATGTGAGCCAGCAGTGTAAACTTGTAGCCCAGAAAACCAATCGTATCATGTGCTGCATTAAGACGTGTATGACCAACAGATTAAGGAATGTGATTCTGCTCCACTCCCATGAGAACTCACCTGCAGTACGGTGTTCAGCTCTGGAATCCTCAGCACAGGAAAGACATGGACCTGTTGGAGGGGGTCCAGGAGGGCCAGAAAAATGGTCAGAGGGCTGGAACAGCTCTCCTGTGAAGACAGGCTGAGAGAGTTGGCATTGTTCAGTCTGGGGACAGGAAGGCTTCAGGGATACCTTGTAGTGGCCTTCTGGTACTTAAAGGGGTCTACAGGAAAGCTGAGGACAGAATTTTTAGCAGGGCCTGTTGCGATAGGGCAGGGCGCAATGGTTTTAACTAGAAGAAGCCAGGTTTAGACTAGATATTAGGAAGAAATTCATCACTGGAAGGATGGTGAGACACAGGAACTAGTTTCCCAGAGAAGTGCTGGAAGCCCCATCCCAGAAACATTCAAGGTCAGGTTGCACAGGGCTCTGAGCAGCCCGGCCTAGTTGAAGGTGTCCCTGCCACTGCAGGTGGGTTGGACTAGCTGACCTTTAAAGATCCAACTCAAACTATTCTATGATTCTGTAATTTATAACTGTACACTATTGTGCCTAAAGAGTTCTTTTTATAATTTCAGTATCTGAAATGAAGTTATTAGCTAGGTCACCTAGGAAAATGTTTAAGGCAGTAATTCCTGAACCAGTTCTAACTTCAGTGATAGGTTAGGCTGGTCAGTGTAGATCTGGAAAACAATAGTCTGTGCAGATTCTAAGTGTGGCACTGTTGATTTTTAGGCATATCTTTTTTTCCCTTTCTTAAGGTTGATTTTAAGGAGGCTGAACTTTTAATGAACAGGAGAATTATTCTCTTAATAAACATCTGTAATTGGAAATCTCAAGAGTTGTAATAAGATTGAGAAGCTTAAAATTAATTTTATTGGGTTTTAAAGAAGTGAAATAGACCTTTACATGTGAGGTTGTTTCCCGTAGTTTTAGTTATATATAATAACTAAATAAATATATATAATAACTATATAAATATAGTTATGTATAATCCTTCATTTTGCAGGTGAATTATGGGAAAGTCTGTAATGAAAGTAGGAAAGGACTCAAATTTGCCACCTCTTGTGACTGTAATCCAGAGTTTGCCTTTGTACCATATGACAGTACGATTGCCGTTTATACGATTTTTACAGGAGAGCTGGTAACTATGCTTAGAGGGCATTATAGTACTGTTGACTGCTGTGTGTTTCAACCTAATTTTCAGGTAAGTAAAGTAAAATTATTTTTTTACTCTTGCCATATGGTGTATTTTCTCTTGTAATAAAGATCTAAGCATATCAAAACTTAATTTGCTATGAGATACTTTACAACAGATTGTTCTTAAGGCTCGTGGCGTGGCAAGAGCAGAGTGGATGTTAGTGGATGTTAGTGTGGACTTCAAGGCTGTAACCTTGCCCTGAGGTGTTGAGGATTGTACCTCACCTTTCAGCTCTTTCTTTCTCATCTTTTGTTTCTGAAATATCAGATAGAAATATCTGAGGCAGAACGGGCACTTGGATATCTTTTCATGACCACTTACACAATACATCATAGAAGGGAATCTGGTAGCTCTTGCTTTGAGTCCAGTAAGTTTAACTGAAATAATGTTGCCTTATCACTGAGATGGACGTGACCAAAAGTTTTTGACATGTTACAGGTGGAACAATAGAACCCAAGCCTTGCTAGACTGACAAGACAGTTCTGGCATGAGTAGAGAGTGGGGTACTAGATCCACTGAAGGGTGAAGTGTTCACACGATAGTTAATGTACATATTTTCTGGACTCTTCTTGACTCCCAAAAAGTCCTAGCTGTTTTTAAGAATACTTTCCTAAACAAAAGTACTACTGTATTTATATTAAGTCATATTTGGTGGTCTTTTTAATAAGCTAAAGAAGTGAGGCAGCACCAAGAGCAAAAAAAGGAGAGTTTATCATGTTTGGAAGAAGGAGCCAGCAACTCAAGAAGAGTACGGGAATCTAGTTAGGTCATGCGGAGACAACATCAGAAAGGCGAAAGGCCAGGTAGAACTCAATCTGACTACTGTCATGAGAGATAATTAAAAAATGTTTTTTATAAATACATTAACAATGAAAAGAGAGGCAAGGAGAATCTCCATTGCTTATGGGATGGGGGGGGAACATTGCTACCAAGGATGAGGAAAAGACTGAGGTACTTAATGCCTTCTTTGCCTCAGTCCTTAATAGTCAGACCATTTATCCACAGGTTATTCAGCCCTCAGAACCAGAAGATGGGTACGGAGAGCAGAATAAACCCCCCATAATCCAGGAGGAAGCAATTAATGACCTGCTACACTGGATGGACACTCACAAGTCTATGGGGCCAGATGGGATCCACCTGGGAGTGCTGAGGGAGCTTGTGGAGGAGCTTGCCAAGACACTCTCCATCATTTATCTGCAGTCCTTGTTAACAGGGGAGGTCCCAGTCAACCGAAGGCTTGCCAGAGTGACAGCCATCTACAAGAAGGGCCAGAAGGAGGATCTGGGGAGCTACAGGTCTCAGTGCCGGGGAAGATTATAGAGCAGTTCATCTTTAGTGCACTCACACAGCATATGCAGGATAACCATGGGATCAGGCCCAGACAGCATGGATTCATGAAAGGCAGATCCTGCTTAACTAACCTCATCTCCTTCTGTGACCAGATGACCTGCCTTGTGGATGAGGGAGAAGCTGTGGATGTTGTCTACCTGGACTTTAGTAAAGCTTTTGACACCATCTCCCACAGCATTCTATTAGAGAAGCTGGAAGCCCATGGCTGAGACAGGTGTGCTCTTCTCTGGGTTAAAAACTGGCTGCACAGCCGAGACCAGAGAGTGGTGGTGAACGAAGTGAAATCCAGTTGGCAGATGATAACAAGTGGTGTTCCCCAGGCCTCAGTTTTGTTGCCGGTCTTGGTTAATATCTTTATCAGTGGTCTGGATGAGGGGATTGAGTGCACCTTTAGTAAATCTGCAGATGACACCACGTTGGATGGGAGTGTTGATCTGCTGGAGGATAGCGAGCCTCTGCAGAGGGATTTGGACAGGCTGGATCAGTGAGCCAAGGCCAGTTGTATGAGGTTGAACAAGACCAAGAGCCAGGTCCTGCCCTTGGGTCACAACGACCTCAGACAATGCTGCAGGCCTGGAGAAGAGTGTCTGGAAAGCTGCCCAGAAGAAAAGGACCTGGGAGTGTTGGTGAACAACCAGCTAAACATGAGCCAGCAGTGTGCCCAGGTGGCCAAGAAGACCAATGGCATCCTGGCCTGTATGAGGAATAGTGTGGCCAGCAGGAGTAGGGAGGTTATCGTGTCCCTGTACTTGGCACTGGTGATGCCACAGCTTGAGTACTGTGTTCAGTTTTGGGCGTTGCATGACAAGAAGTACACTGAGATGCTGGAACAGGTCCAGAGAAGGGCAACAAAACTGATGAGGAGGTCTAGAGAACATGTCTGATGAGGAATGGCTGAAGGAACTGCAGTCATTTAGTCTGGAGAAGAGGAGACCAAGGGGAGACCTCATTGCTCTCTACAACTACCTGAAAGGAGGTTATAGTGAAGTGCCGGTCAATCTCTTCTCCCAAGTAACTAGCAATAGGCCGAGAGGATATGGGTTTGGGTTGTGCCAGGGGAAGTTTAAATTGGATATTAGGAAAAATTTCCTTACTGGAAGAGTAGTGAAACATTGGAAGGGACTGCCCAGGGAGGTAGTGTAGTCACCATTCCTGGAGATGTTCAAAACATGTGTAGATGTGGCACTTCAGGGCATGGTTTAGTGGTCATGCTGGTGTTGGACTGGTTGGACTTGATGATCTTGGAGGTGTTTTCCAACCTCAATGATTCTGTGATTAAATCTCACTGTAAATCATGTTTTCCAGCCCTGGAAATGTGAATCTTTTTATAGTGTCTTATCTTGGGTTTTAAGATCCTTAGACAGGGATGACTTGTATGTGACTGTGCACATAAGAACTACATCACTCACTATAGCTATAGATTTATGTTGGCAACAACTTCCTTTGTTTATCTGTTGTGATTCCTGATTTTCTTTCAGAATTACCCTTTTCTAGAGTTCAGTTCTCTGTTCTAGAAGTGTGACTGAGTTTTCTTTTTGTTTAAATGGCCTGCATTTAGTTGCATTAAATTGTTACTCTGATGTAGTAACATTACTACAGTCAGTGTATCAACACCAAAGGCAGTGGTAGTGTGGTATTGACTGAGTTCACTCTTGTACTTCCAGATAGCTCTTTTTGTCTTGAGACAATTAAGTACATGGATCAGTTTCCATATTGTTCCAATGGAAATTACAATTTCCCAGTTAAAACTCATCTTCTGAGAATGCAGTCTTTTGTAAAATGTATAGTTACCTGTTCTATTTTACTGTTACATGCAGTATTAAATCAATGTTACAAAGTTATTCACAGTTGTGCATTTGGGGTTTCAGCTACTAGCTGTAAGCAAAATCACTTTTTCTTGACAAAACCTTCTTTGTTGCTGTGTTGACTGATGCTTATTTTCCTATATCTAAACTCTACAGTAACTGAATTGTTTAATCACCCTCTCCATTGTCATGTTTAGGGTTAAAGAAATGTCAGTTCATTCATTTGTATCTGTTTCAGTTTTGTAGTACTTCAATACATATTAAAATGTAAGTAATTTAAGCAAGCCAGAAGTCTCTTCTAAGTCTCTCCAATTTATGCATCTACTGATGAAATGTGTAGCAGATGGCCTTTTAACATGTTTCATATATATTAGCTCATTTGAAATTACTGCACTAGCTTCATATGAAACGAGTTGTGCATCATTTCAGCACAGTTTCTACCATTTCCATCTAGCAATGACCCTCTTTTGTTGTTTTTATCTTCATATTAATTTTATTCAAACTTCTGCTGTCTTTAACCCTGCTGAGTTATTTTTGTCCTACCCACCCTTAAATCTGATCCTTGGATTTTCTTACTATTTTTTTCCTATGTTCAGAACTTCTGGTCAATACTGATTGCTGCAGGTCCCTCACATTCTTTCTGTTCATTAACTGTATTTCAATTACTGTCTTTTGTTTTACTCCTTAAGTGGAATAGGCTCTGAAAGGAACTTTAACTTTGCACCAATTATGTATTTGAGGTGAGAAGCGTCTTCTGTTTGCTCAGAACCATATAATCAAGTATGATCACTGATACACAAGCAACTAGCTATCATATTAGTCTTTTCCATTCTATTTATTATGTAGAATACCTTTTGTGTCTGAGATACCATGTGGAGCTGTCTCCACAGAGTGGTGTTTTAGTTATGGGTGTATATATGCCTTCTGAGATCCTGGGAATAGACCCATAAAATCCACTATATTATTGTTGGCATAAATTATTCTTACGTAAATATATCTGTAAAGTTAATAAGATGTTAGTCTGCTTGAGTAATAAGAACTGCAGGATTTGGCCCCTTAATAAGAGGCATTAATTTAGCAGGAGGTTGGTAATTTCAAGGGTGGTGTGGAAGAGGAAATCTCCATTGTGTAATCTATTAGATGATGTTTACTCTTGGATTTAATATGCTACATACCATTGTGCCATATTAGCTGGCTAAAATAATTAAACAAACAAGACCTATGTTTCTCTTTCAGAAAAAGAAATGCAATAAAGCACCATGCATGAATAACATGTCATAGAATACTAGGTGTGTGTCAGGAAACAGTTTTGCTTTAATTACAGCTACTTCTATGGTTCAAAAAATGCCACTGACATCTACAAAGTATTTAGCAAATCCAGTGGCAGGCCAATAAATAAAACTAACTGAAGGTTAAATTAGGTTTTATTTACAAAGTCTTAAAGCATACTATTTCCATATATTGTACCATAAACAGACATGGAGCTCACTGGCTCTTCATTTGACTGACAAAAGATATGAGTCACCATTTAAGATTGTAATAACTAGTTGTAAGTATTACTCAATGAAGTAGATATTAACTGAAGATCTTGCAATGCCAGGATCAGAAAGTGAGACAAGTGGTAATAAAGATTAAATAGAAGTATGCTGATGTCACTGTGACATTGTTCACAAGGAGAAATGTTGGTGTGAGAAGAGGATTTAAAGTTCTGTTGATATTCTGTATCCCATCAAAAAACAGGAGGACTGAGTAGAGTACTACTGACAGCATAAAGTCGGATTAGACCTGTACCTTGGTGTAACTTCATTCTCTCTTAATTTAAACAGGATGCTTCTCTCTCATAAAATTATAGACTCTCGTATGTGCTTTATGCATGAACAACTTCACATATGGGACCAGTTTTGCAGAAGTATGTAATGTCTCTTGAACGAGATTACCTATATAAATGAGTGTTTATAGGAATTAGGCATTAAGCTGCTGCGCTGTCAGTTTAATTCAGTTCTAGAATTAAATATACGTCATATAGGAAACTTTCTGCAAAGACAAAACCATAATAATTTATTTAACTTATGTTGAATCAGCATATTAATAATTTTCACATATGCATAGAGTTACTATTTTAAGTGTAAAAGCCAACATGCTTAAAGCAAGGCTTTCATACTGTCCGCCTGAGTATAGAAAAAAATATATGTTTCACTCAGGCAGCTTAAATGCATGGCAATGCTCAAGTGTTGTCAGACATTGCATATAATAAGCAAGGGCATAACTCAAGATTGAAGGCATATGAGAATATCTTCATGTGTGTTTATTTACATAGCTCTTTGGAAAATAGAAGCATTATTAGTGCAGAATTACTGCAAAGATGGTGCAGTGTTTCTTGCTAGCAAAATGTCTGGAGTTTAAAGTGCCAGAGAAGTCTGCATTTATTCTAATGACTAAGAAAACCAAGCTGTATTTCACTGTTAGCTGTTTTGCGCAGAGACTATTTGCTGCCATGTGTTTGCAGGGTGCCTTGCACAATGGAATCTCAGTCCTTAGTCATTACGATAATAGAGTTATTTATATTAAAAATAATAAATTGGTCTTGGGTCTCTGCCTTCCCAACAGGATACGGACTTCAGATTGTTCTTTATTTGTTCTTTTTCCTTCCCTAGGCATACTGAAAATATATTTACTTAGCACTTCTTTGTTCCATACATGTGCACTCTTCTAACATGTATTACAAGGTGCCTTTGAGTCAATTCATATTTTTAATTAGAATAAAAAAATATTTGTTTCTTCTCCATTGAACATAAATTGTCTCTTAAGCTTCTTAAGTGTTTAAATAGGTTTCTTTTCAGGACATATGAGAGAGGGCAGAATAAAAGTTCACTTAAGCAATGAAGTGCATTGAAATGTGGGTAGTGTTTTGGTGACCAATCTGGGGAAAATGTAAGAACTTTTTTTGTTTTGGTGTACTATTTTAAATACTGTTTATCAAGATTATAGTACAAATTAGAAATTGTACATTTATTTTATTTGTCTTTATTTTTACACAAATATTTCATCCACTTTCTTTTCCCAACATTATGTCACTGTTCAGTAAATTTGTGTAAATGTAATTTTTGCTTGCTTTCCTAAAGGAACTTTATAGTGGTAGCAAAGATTGCACTATCCTTGCATGGATACCAGCTCTTCGAGAACCACTTCCTGATGACGTTTCTGAAAAGGTAATGAAATTGTGAGTTGGAACTGCACTTTCTCTGGCTGCTATATTTGGAGAGGTGCTATGGAAATTAAATATGAAGTGTATGATTCACCATCAAAATTTGGAATAATTCCTAATCAGGAGTTAAAAACCAGGAGGAAAATCCTGTATTTTTCTCTGCAGTCTTTTGATAGTTGTGGAGTTTTGAGATGACACTGTTTTACAGTCTAGTCTTTTGCAGACTTCTGGCTTCTCAGTTGAAAGTAGTAGTTGTTAATTGGCTATCCATCTTTCAAAGTCTGTATTAACTTCCTTAATTTCTAAGCTGTTTCCTGGTTTATGCTATTTTGGAATTGGAAAAGTGCCAAAGATTGTATTTTAAATAATTTAAGAATATACTGTGTATTAAACAGTAAGATCAGGGATGTCACACTTCATACCTGATGCAGAAATATAATAGAGAAGATTCTAAATGAGCTTCCTTTGATGTCTGAGGCTGGTTTTTTCAGGCTGTCGTAGGGAAGATCATGTGACACTGTTTGCCAAGAGAATACTTTCTCTCTTAGAGCTGGGCAATGAAAATTTCCGTGAACAATTTGAGGAGGAAAAATTGCAGATTTTAAGGAACTGAAGCCATTCACATAATCAGAGTAGTTTCAAAGGTTAGATGCTCTAAACCCAAAATGTGTTTGGCTGACCCAAAATGAACATTTCTGCTGTAACTGAGAGTTTTGATGTGTGTGCATGGTTTTTCCTTAGTCTGAAAAACCAAACCAACAGCAACGAGATTATTTACCCAGCTCTGATTAGAACAGCCTCTTTAAATTTGACATGGGTGAGGTATGTAGTATGAGCCATTCTTTTGAAATCAGCTGCTGTTTGCAAGTGTTGTAGACGAACGCTGCTTCTGAAAGAAGCAGTTCTGCTGTCCACAGGCTGTCCACAGGCTTCTTAATTCCTCCTCCCTCTCATGTGCTAAAATGGAATTGGATGACCAGGATCTCAAACCAGGATAGAAGTAAATAGTAAAAAAAATTTAACCTCACAGTGATTCAGTGCACTGTGTAGCTGCACAAACCCTTTAGCCTGACCCTAGCAGCACCTGAGGTGAGAAGTGGTTGTTAGATGTAGATAGTCGCCAGGACTACTTCTTCTGACAGTAGCACTCTGTTATACTGGGCCAGGGAAAATATAACTTAAAACCAATGACAGAGAACAAACATGGTAATACCTGACATTTGTAAAACTTCCAGTCAGTTTTGGGGGGAGGGGGGGTTTGTTGGAATTGGAATTAAATAAAGGTTTGTTGTTTGGGTTTTTTTATTTCTGGTAATTAATTTATCCTGTCTGTAATCTGTGAAATGACCCAAGAAGTAGTTAAAAAAAATCCAGTAGCCATGACAGACACAATAGTTTGTCTACATATAGGAATGTAAAAAATGTCTTTAGCATTGGCCTCACTTATTTTAGTATTCTTAATTAAGCAAACCATTGACAGAGATTTTGTCTTCTATAGTCTCTGCCTCAACAGCACTTAAATCCAGCATATGAAGACGCATGGAGCAGCAGTGATGATGAAGGCTGAATTTCAGTTATGGGCTGATATGAAATTGATGTTCAGGCACTGCCTTCGCAGATTTTATCTACAGAATTGGATATTGTCGGATTTATTACGACTGGACTTTTGGTACAGTTCTGTCAGAGCAAAGTCTTTCAGAAATAAGTTTCCACTGTTCTCTGTGTTCTTTTTTCACTGTTGCAGTTAAATGTAAATGATTCCTTTTTCATACTGACTTTTTTACTTGCCCTTATGCATTGGTGTAGTTTATTCAGTGTTGAACAGCTGACAAATTTAAAATAAAAGCTCTTTGAACCACTTAATATTGCATTGTTTCTGGTATCAGTGATACATAAACAGATAATCGCTTTGTTTACAAGAGACATGATTGTTTTGCTAATTGGCCTAGGGAGCGGGGGGAGTTCTGCAGAAAAGGATACAGACACCAAGAGAAGAAGGGTCAGCGTATTTTACTATTTCAGAGTACTACAAGAACAAGGCAATGCAAGCTTAGTATACTCTAGTTTTAAACAGCGAGGAGTACAAGCAGGGTAATGCACCTAGTCGTTGCTATATAGAGTTAGCAATACTGATCAAGAAAGATGCCAGTCACCCTAATATCATCCAGATCTGCAGTCACTGGGGAGCCCCCATTGCAGTGAGGGTTCCGGAGAACTGTCGCAGCAATTGGGAAGCCCTACACAGTGCGTCCACTCGTAGGTGAGGTCTCCGAAGTCACTGCAAGAGGGTCCAGCTTTTATACTATTAAATAAACAACCTTACATAACTTCAAATGTGGGAACATCTGGTGGTGTTTGCTCTGTTGGATTCCTCCCAGGGCCTGGCCAGGGCTAAAGGAAGAATAAAAAGGAGTCTCCCTACCTATTTCAGTCCTTAATCCCGTATTTCTCACCCAAGCCAGGCCTCTGGTCTCACAGTCTTGTTAATGTGCTTCTAACAAAGCAAAAGGCAGCTAGTTTCTCAGCTTTGCACCTGGCCTTTAGATAAATACTGCTCTGCTAGTTCCCACTACACATTTGGTTTACAGCAAAGCTTTTACAGATTGGCATTGGAATGTATATATATATATATATTTATACACTAAAACAGATTATCAATACATTACACATGTGATTAATACTATATAATGTGGGGTTGTGAGGTTCATCTGTAGGTCAACTTCAGTGCCTACGATTCAGGCCCTAGCACTGCAATGATACATAGGATTTTGCCTGAAGGAGGAACACTTCCATCTTAGTTTTATCAATGTCTAGATGGAACAGACTATGCCCAAATTCAAGTGCTTTTTGTGCTGTGGTAGCCAAGAGGATTTTATGTCTGTTCTTTTGCATTTTCAGTTTCGCATAGGTTTCTCAATAAATGCAGTACTAAGTTCAGAAGGAGGTATAGCTGAGATCATGTATTCAAATATTTAAATGGTGACCCCATCAACTAGTATCTGAATCTCTCCCATAAAGTTTCTACTCACTACTTCAGTTGGAGTTTTTGTTGCTTCTCTTAGCAGGTTTTTAAGATCAGTCTTCTGTGTATGCTTCTCTCACAGTTCCCTAGCCAGTGTGAAGAATTCCTGGACAGAAACAGGCTTGAGCTACAGTAGAAGGCAGAGAGTAGATCATATTTTAAGTTAAAACATATTGAATGTAGTCTTTCAAAACTGTTTTGATCTGAATTTGTGGCCCTAATTCATCCTCTGGTCTGAAAATGAGGAGCTTTATGGGGTTTTTGTCTCATTCCAAACACTAGTTTGTTCAGACTTAACTCAGCTCTCAGCTTAGTGACTACGTTAAAGGTTCCCGTCAGGTGTAAACGCAGCTCTGAAGAGGAAAAATTCCTTCCAAAGCAGAGCAAGTATTAGGACCAGAAATTCAGACAAAAGGAAGAAATACTGTACAAATAAAGATAATATTTTTTGCATAGTGTTTGTTATTTTTGTGATTAGCATGCATTTTAGAATTAATGCACTGTATTTCTCTAATATCCATACAAGGTATAGGCTGTCAGCTTCTATATCAGCTTTGTAAAATTATGCAAAATGAGGAGTGGGCACGTCAAGGTAATGTAATTAAACAAGCTTCATATGAAAGCGCGTATTTGCTGGGAGAGACCTACTATTAAGTGGATGGCTGCAGGGTGGAAGACTTCCAGAAGTTTTGGCTGAAGTTAAGGACCAGCCTGACACTGTCACTTTACAGAAATAGAGAAGAGAATTTTCCATTTTTTCTCAAATTGTAGTTTTAATTACCAGTGGTGGCTGTTTCCTCTAAAATTGGAAAAAATAGGGAGCAAATCTGAAGAAAGATTACGCACTGTGATTTTTGTCATGAAGAGGATCATTTGTATATATCAACTGCAATGCATGTATTTGATATTTGAATTTATAGAAATGTGCTCGTAGAGCTGGTCATCAAAGGAAAAATGCACTTTATCTGCAATATGACTATAAATGATGATTATTTTAAATAAACAGTAAACCCACCAGCTCTGTGGTGGACTGGCAATGGTATGTAAAGTGGGAAAGGGAGAAGAATTACTGAAGGTGAGAAATCATAAAAAATAAACCTTTAGGCACTAATGTTGCATTAATTCTCCTGTTTTCTGGAATGGCTCCTCTCAAATTAATTCCTTTTCCTGTGCTTTAAGTACACAATTATTAAGACTGGAAGGGATCACTGGAGCTAATCTAGCCCAACCTCCCTGCTTAAGACAAGGTCACTTAATGCAGGTTGCTCAGGCTTTGAGTAGCTCTGCAACATACAAACCTATTTCACTGTTTGAGCATTCTTAGAGTAAAAGCTTATTCTTAAATGGAGATTTCTGTATTGTGTCTTGCCCCATTGTTGGATACCACTGGGAAGAGTCTGACTTCTTTACTATCCCTTTCCCAGGCTCCATCATTGCTAGTATCTTCCACACAGGAATCTTCCCAAATTATATTCTGGCATCGGTTGATAACATTCACCTTCTTGACTTGTTCTCTGGACCTCCCTCCTATGGAAAGACAGGTGTTTCTGGTGAGGGAAGTTAAAAGCGTCTGTGTCTCATCTGGGCAAGGATCCGGGCATATTCTACAACCCAACACTTGCAAATCTCCCATGTAATGTGAACTAAACACCACTTGTCAGCGGTAGCTGACAGGTGGTGGTTAGTTCACAAGGTGTGAAACCTCTTGGTACTAGTCAGCACCTCAAACACCAATTTCTGTGAAAATTCTACTTGGAATAATGGCATATATGTTATGATTTCTTTCAGTATTTCTGATTTTCTGTAGATGTAAATATATTCAAGCTTTTTCTAGAAAATTTTTTTTCTATTTTATTTCTTCTGCATTTTTATGGTGGCTTAGTTACTAAATAAAATGTTGATATCTTCAAAATGAAAAATTTTAAAGGACAGTGAATGTATACTGTGTATTATTTTTTCACTGGAAAGACACAACTACTAAGCTAACAACATCGGTTTTAACTGTGCCTCTGTTGCTTGTGTGTGAGTTAAATGTGATAATTAAATCTGAATCTTCACCTTCATTTATGCCTATTCTGCTTCTGTGTTTATAGTATATATTTTTATAGTATCAGAGCATTTTTTGAAACAAGAAATACAGCAATTGGCAAGTACAAACTTAATCACACTTCCTATCCTTATACTAGTTAGGAAAAAAAACCCACGTTTGAAAATCCAGTCAGGCATCAAAAGGAGTGCTATATTCAAGTTGAAACAGTTATTCATGTTAAAAACAGAAAAAGTTTGAAGAGAGAGCTTGAACTGGAATGGACTGCACCCGTACTGCGGTAGTGGTACTGGGACTTGGTAGTCACACTCTGTATCAGAACACGTAGAGAAGCACTTTCATCTTTTCAGACTGTTCCGGGAATTGACTGTTGCTTAGAAGACTTGCTTTGCCTGCCAAAGCAGAGATCTTTATTTGAGCTTGATACAGCAGGTAGCAAAAGAGGGAGAAGAATTTATTTGTTCTTACAAGAGTTGAAAGGATTTCCTTTCCCTTCTAGCCTAAGGAAACAGTGGAGCTGGGAGACTGAGTCAGCCCAGCTGAAGAAATCCAGACAGTCTAAGGCAAGCCTCCTTCAGTTTGTGTGAAAGTTGAGTTCTATAAAGACAGGAAGGTAAGACTCTGATGATTTATGTCTAAGGTATGATGCTCAGAAAGAATTTGGTTTTGAGACATCCAAGGAAAAACCACACAGACCTGGAAGAAAGCATTAGCACATGAGATTTTAAATATGATTAACTCCCAAGTTGTTGAGAACAACAGGTTAACACCACATGCTTATCTCCCTTTGTCCTTTTCTCTATCCCTTATATATTCAGTCTTACACACAGGCTGACAAGCCTAAAGATGTGGGGATTTGTCTGCCACTTTTTTTTTTTTTTTTTTGCATTGTTTCAATTTGTAGTCAGGCCAGGCTTCTCACTACACAAGACATCTGTTGGGGTTTTTTTTAATCAGGAATGAGTTCCTTATATGCTCAGTCAGCTCAGGGCCCTGGATTTAAGACCCCTGTCATTGTAAAGCTGAAAAATTCTTAGATTTGGGAGCATCAGTAGAATTGACTGTTAGATTTTTTTATGTTTATCCTTGTGTCATAGCCCTTATGGTACCTTGAATGGAAATGTAGAGATATAGGTGTATACATGCACTTATATATATATATATGAGCAGAAGATCTCTTTAGGATACCATTGCTTTGGCATCACTGGAGGATAGTTCTCATTTTTCTTCCTACCTCAGTTTTTAATGCAGGTAAAAGCCTAGCGCGTATGGTTGAAAATTTTAAGCTCTTCAATGCACATTGGCCTAGGAGCTGCCACAATGAACAAGTAAGATTGCTATTAGCTTGGCACAAGTTTGCGATACGTAGTCAAGTTACGGGCTTATTGGTTAAACCTCTCCAAATACATATTTTTGTCACATAAAACGTAGGAACTAGCATCATTAAAGTAGTCCTTAAAGAGAGAAAGCTTGAGTATTGGCAGTGTGCTTAACTACTAAGATGTGTGCTGAGGTGCTGTGACCCAAGAGATGTTCCAGAAGACAGTATATGGGTTTCAGTGGACAGCAGTTAATGCTTCTAATACCCAGCTAAATAAAGGTACGTAAATCATATCAATAAAGTCCTTTCATGTGGTAAAATCTGAGTTATGAAATGGACACGTCTTCTTCCACCTTCCCCTTGTTTTTGTTTTCCTTTAGTCTAGTTTATAAAAACAGTGGAAATGGAGGATAGAAAGGGATGACTGAGTACCCAGGAATTCAGGCAGGTGCATAACTACTCCCCAAA